CGCTAACGTAACCGACTGTACCTAGTACTCGAAGGCGTAGCGGATTTTGAGACGCAGAATTGCTGCGTCGAAATGGCTTGATAGTTTGTCGGTACGCGCCACCGTATGTCTCACCGGGGTGACTAGTTAGCACTTTGGCTAAGCTAGCGAATGCCTGGAGCGACCAGGACTTAACGGTCCAAACGGACCAGTCCGAGCAACCAAACGTGCGTGAGCGACGTGGTAATTTCTGGACTTTAGCAGCCGCACTCTGGGCGTGCAGAGGCGCTCTTCCGTGTCTAACTTCAGCTATTAGCGAATTAATGCTAGCGGTTGAATGCTAGCAGATTAATGCTAGCGAGTTGACCGGGACGGTAGTCGGGGATCAAGCGGCTACCGGACGGAAGTAAATTCCGACGGGGATATCTCTATCTCTGGTTTCACAAACAATTGCACACAGTGTCACAAACACACGCGACAAACAAGAAAACATACAGTATTCAACATACAAGACAGGAAAATACTCCTTCAGTGGTAGGCCTAAAATGGCCGCTATGTGCCACGTCAGCCTTAGAGTGGTTTGATGAAACAGCGCCTCCTGTGGAGGGTGACTAATGTCCAAATATGTCTCAAACTCGACACAAAGTGCTTTAAAACTTTGTAGATATCTGGCTTAGGCTCGCCATTAAATGTAGCGGAATATAGTTGGTATATTCTTACACTTTTATTAAGGTCCAGAGATATCACTGATCCAAACCTGAGCTGGATCATTAATCTTTGGACCGGGCCCTTAGAATCAAAAGAGGTTGTTTTTACTACAGGGAATTTTATTCAAACACTTTGTATTGACTTAGAGACAAGAAGAGAGAGAGAGAGATGGGACGTTTAAGAATGTTTACTTTATAATTATTCGAAACAATCACCAGGACTAACTCTCTAATGATGGATGCAGATGAATGTAATGCTGAAGTGTTGGTGTGTGTGTGTCAGTTCAGAATCTCCATCTGGTGGAGGCGAGTCTGAGTGCAAGATGTTGTTTTGTCTAACTAACCGATGAGGGACTTCAGGAGGAAGACATGAGACGCCATCTATGCCGATCTACGTACCGTGCGGAGACTCCCGTGTTAGATCCGGATGCCAGGTCCTCGGACCCTCCTTGGTGCTGGAACTGGTGAAACAGCGTCTGCAGCACGACAAACCAGTCTATGGATCGTCTCCCGGTACAACGGCAGGTTTCAGCGTCACGTAGAGACAGTCACCAACACTGTCACTGTGTCAAAGGGCAGCTGTTAAGGGCAGAAATGGCATATTCATAACGCTATAATATGTAAGAATTTTACTAACGGTCAAATGTCTTAATCGTGTTGAAAGGAAGGTTACATTGAAAAAGATTTCCTTCTCAGTCTGGCTGGGGGTTGTCAGTTTTTCTCCTTTTCGGGAAGCTAAAAAGGATGTTTACAATCTGTGAGGCTGCAGGGTTGCCACGTCTTTGCCAGCAAATGCTACATTGGCATTTGTAATTCAATACCAACCAGCAAAAAGCTCCAGAGTTGTGGACAGTATGTTAGCCAGTGAAAGGAGCATGAGCATCCCATAAGTTATTTACTGTTACCCAAAAAGCTGCGGCATCTTTCTGTTATACTCTAATATTGGGTGAAGCAGGCTAGAGGCTAACGTTGAGCTAATAATGCTAACGGTGATTTAGAAACTAATTTTTTCAATCACCAACTTGATATTATAGGCAAATTTATCTATTTATCAACGTACTGTTTATGACTCATCTTCGCTTGTCATCTAGAATCTTCTGGTGCTGATCCGGATCTGGCAACAGCCATGAAAATAACACAACAGTAGTAAGAAAATTTCTTTCTGTTTAGAAAATGGACTGCAGTACTATAACCTGAGGTCCTGGAGTGACGATGGCACAGGAGTTAAGTGCTCATCAGTGTTGGGCAAGTTACTTCAAAACTGTAATGCATTATTTATCACTTGTTACCCTCATTTTAAAGTAATTAATTACATTACAATATTACTGATTTTAAAAATGTATTACACTACTTTTGCATTACTTTAAGTTACTTTCACCAAAACAACTTCAATATGAATCTGGTAATCTGACGCTCAGTGAGCTCATGACATAGATGTGGAAAGTGATGTGGTGTCTGAGCTAGGATTGCTGTTCAAAACAGTCAGATATAATAACAGTGCTTTAAAATGATTGTTTATTAAATAAAAGCAACAACAATCTGTACTCTCAGCACGTTGCCATCTTATATTAACTGAGCAGGGAGTGAGGTGGTGGGGGCTCCAAGCCTATATTTGCCTTGGTCCCCAAATGCCTTGATACGGCCCTGGGTGTGGGACTGACTTCTGGGGTTATCTGATTCTATCATGTATAAATATTAAATGCTTATGTATATTATTGCCTTTCACTGGTAAAAATGTGTATTGGGGATAAATCTACCTACTTTTTTCTTTTCAAGCACTTTGTTTTGTTTTCTTGATTTTATGTGGATAATATCCTGCTCTCTCTAACCTTCCTGCATGCTGCATGTTTTCTCCGTCTTCTAGAAAAACTGTAAACTAGATTTCCTAGTTTCTAACTAATCAGCCAAAGAGATCTACCGAACACAAAAATAAATAAATAAATAAATAAATAAATAAATAAATAAATAAATAAATAAATAAATAAATAAATTTAAAAAAGCTTCGCGCTGCGCTCCAGCAGCAAAGGAGTTGAAATCACCGGCGCACAGATTATGAACTCAGCTAAAAATTACATGAAGTACCAGAGAATATGGGCGGATATATAAACGATCGCAAACGAATTACTTTGTTTTGGTGGAGCGATTTTGTGAATATAACAGCGCCCGCGCGCGCGCAGGACGCAGCTGGAGTATTTGAGCCATTACTGCTGCGTCCTCTGCTCATAGAATGCCCGCAAAGCTGAGTCCATAAATGACGTCATATATGTGGATACTGGATCTTTTTTCAGGCTTCCCGCAATTTGAATTTTTAGGAAACCCACATCTTGATTCTGGGTTTAAAAATGCGTTGTAATTACCGCGTTACTGACAATTGTACCGAGTAAATGTTACCATTTTCTTTCCCTGTAATGCCTTACATTACCACATTACAGCAAAAAGCAATGCATTACAGTAGTTAATTACTTTTGTACCGCGTTACTCCCAACACTGCTCACCCCATAATCAGAAGGTTGCAGGTTCGAGCCCAGTTCAGTCTGTCGCTGTTGTGTCCTTGATCAAGACACGTAGCCCACCCTGCCTGCTGGTTGTGTTTGGAGAGACCGGTGGCACCTGTGTACGGCAGACCCGCCTCCGTCAGTGTGCCCCAGGGCAGCTGTGGCTACAATGTATCTAATCACCACCAATGTGATGTAGCTGTGGCAAATATGTATTATTTTTTTGATATTCTGAATAAATATACAATATTAACTTGCTTGATCTTAACTGTAAATATCAGAAAATTATAGGGCTTAATCAGAAGATTCTGAGATTCTTTGATTTATTAAGCAATTATACACACTTCGTTTTGATTCATGAAAGAGTCAGTTTTATAGTAAAAATGATTTTTATCACAAGAAAACATGACAAGTGAACTAAGCATTTACCGGGAACGGATGGGTCTAAAGGTGATGTAGGCTATGTGTAAATGAGGTGTTGGTCAGAACTTCCGAATCTCAGAGAGCGGCGTCTCCGGATACAAAAGAATTTGGTTTGCAATAAACTATGAGGTTGATTGTTGTCAAAGCACATTCAGACGCAATCTCTCTGTGTTCTACGCTCACCCTTTGGATGACCCTCGTCCGGATCCGGAGGTCAGAAGAGGTCGGATGACCTCAGGCCACCCAGGTCCAGTAGATTGACCGTAAGCACAGACTTTCTCCAGTCTCAAGAGATGTCACCAGGCATCACAGGATGGGATCAGCTTGCGTCTCAGAGATGACTCTTAAGGAGTGAATAATTCAGCTTTGTTCTGCAGGAAGTGTTTTTCATCAGCTTTGCAGGTGCACAAAAGGTTACAGAGTCTTGCAACAGATGGCCAATCTGAGCTATTCTCCAGAACTCTCCGGTACTCATGAATCTCTCAGCGGGTTTTAGTTTTATAGAATTGATGTTATGATTTTAACAGCCAGTCAGAGGGTGACAGAAAGGAAGATGTTACCAAGGCAACCTCGGAAACACGCCTTCTTTAATATGGAAGTCCTGATCTGGGTAAAAGGTTTTAGCTATGTGTATGGGACTTTAACTTAGCCGTGCTTGTTATGGCGGATGTGCAGGTGTGTGGACCTTGTCGTCAAAACATGGGGAACACATTGCAGTCTAGTAGATAAACAACATCCACTCAATGAGCACAATTAATGAAGCATTCCATTTTATAATACTATAATTATCATGAGTAGTCATAAACAAATGATTATTTAATGATTATCTAGATTAGAAGTCATAGAAGGAGTTCATATTGATTTATTAAAATTATTCTTGAAATTGGCACTGATTTGAGCTGGATCTTCTGTCTTCTGCAGCTGAGACCTTGAGGAAAGTAAGTTAATGTTATGATTTAGACTTGTGGAGTTTGAATCCCAGCTTGTGTGAAGACAGACTTGTTTAAAGGGAACACATGCAATGTTGTGTCTCCTCTCTGACCAGATGTTGAATGGTGGAAGATCAGGCTGTACCTAAACTGACCATTGCTGGACGCTACAGTGTGAATGTGTGTGTGAATGGGTGAATGACTGATTGTGTTGTAAAGCGCCTTGGGGGGTTCCAGGACTCTAGAAGGCACTGTATCAAAAACAGGCCATTTAAAGCATGACATTAAAATTAAAGAAAATTGTACAGAAAATATTGCAGTTTATATTTTGTGCAACCTTTTTATGAGGAGTTTAACAAGTCACAATTTTATATAAAATATTTATGAGAAATATAATTTAAACATGAAACACACATTGATTAATTAATTATATGATATAGACTTATCTAAATGAATGAGGTACACAGTTTTTAGCGATTCCTTTTTATTAAAATATACAAAATTTACAAAAATCACAACTAAACGCTGCTTTAATTATTTAATCTTAAAGGTCTTCTTTTGTTGAGTAAGACTTTGTCTCAGTGTACCAAAATGAACTCATAACAATAATGATAATAATAAAAAAGCCCAGCAGCTGCTTCCAGCCTCAGAACTGTTTGTGCTCTTCTCTTCTGAAAGGAAAAGGAAGCAGTAAAGTTTCACAACAGTTCCTATATCAGCTAGTTAAACTGTAAAATGTGCCATAAAACTGCTGATTATTAGTCTCGACCCTTTTTCACCATCATAAACATGCCGTTATTGTCTTCTCCTTTCTGACCTATTAGGATGAGGAGCTGCTAATAAGTGCAGGTTTGATGATGTGTTTACGTCTGCATTAGAAATCCATATGAACCACCAGGAAATCTGGACGGAGCTATTTTAGGAGCAGCTGTAGCTCATTTTTACTGCTGCAGACACAAAAGAGACCGAGGACAATGAATCTAACCTGAGTCTGTTTAGCTGGATGAATCAGTCACACACAAGAGGAAATATTTACACCCGTGCCATTTAAATCTTTACATTTGGATCCTTTTTACACCCCAACTCAAAAAGAGGAGAAAGAGAAAAGATCCATTAACAGATCCCGTCATCACTAGTGCAGCAAAGTGTGTGATGACAGCGGTTTACACACGTTCATTTAAAATGATGATCAGCTGGAGCTGTCTCACTTTCCTCTCAATGTTGCTGCAGCAGAGTTCAGATAAAGGATGAAAGGATTTCAACCAACCTGTAAGCGAAAACAGTTATCACATTAAAGTTAATAAAACAATAAATAACAGAATCGTGTAATGTGGTTTAGTCTGTTTTGATTCAGAGGCAGATTATAATCTGAGTAATATTATGTAGAATAACTTGTACAACTACCTGGAGTTGCATATTTGGGATGAAGTTTTTGTTCAGATTTTTCATTTAAAGTTTTATAAATTCTTTAAAACCACATTATGAGGTGAAAAGGTGATGGTTTTGGTTTGTAGCCTCACAGGGTCAAATGAAGCTCATTTTAGTGTTTCATGAGGAAGCTTACTGTTGGAGCTCTGCTGCTGCCGTGTGTGCCGCTGAGGGACCAGGTAGCCGGAGCCTGTCGGCTCTGCTGCGGTGCCGACTGAAGGGAACCAGCTGGGCCAGCCTGCCAAACAAAAGTACCGAGATCACGTTGTTTAATATTTCACATTGTACTGCTCTTTCTGGCTTTTTACTGTTCATGGTTCCCTAAAAGTTCTGCTACTCTGTTATCTTGCTTCTCCACGCTTCCTGCTCCTGCAGCCCCCTCGTCCCTGCCAAACCACACACCAGCTTACAACTGTCTCAGTAAATAGTCAAATATTCATCATTTAGAGTTCTTGCCTGGCTGACTTCTGTGATTCTGTGAGTGTTTTACCTTGTTGTTGGGCAGAATTCCTTGCAGGGTCTGAAGCTCTTTTTCCTTCAGAGCAAGCCTCTCATCCTGGAGTTTCTTCTGGTCTCTCAGTCTGTTCTGCTCCACCAATAGTTTTTCCACCTAGAAGAAACAAATACATAGTTTTAACATGTGCATGAAGACTTAATCCACCCTTGCACAGATGTAAGACCTACCTGGTCATCGTGAGCTTTCTGTTTGAGCTCTAAGTCCTTGGCAGCTCTGGCAATCAGCTCACTGTGCTTTTGTTCACACCGCTGCAGACTGGAATTGAAATATTTGATCTGCACCTCCATCTTACTGGACTGGGCTTGAATCTCTGCCACCTAGAGCATAAAAACTATTAAAACATGTAAAGGTGGTGCTACAGAGGTCCTTACAAATCAGGTGTGGTGTTAGCCCGGTTTATCCTTAGTTGTTAGACGTTTTATTTGTCCTGGACACATTTGCTGCCTCAGCAGCCTTCTGTTTTGACCCTGAGTTTGGTCTCACAGGATGTCTGTCTCTTTAGTTAGATTTATCAGGAATGATGTCATGAATAGACCCCCCCCCCCCACCCAGTTAGAAATGATTCTTTTCAGCTGTTCCTTTGGAAAGATTTTGGTGGAAATACGCCTCGAAGGAAAGTGTGAGGTCATCATTGGCAAAGGTTGGTTTAGGAGCTACTACCGCTAAAACACCTGATTAAACCATTCTACCTTTTTAAAGGAGGAATTGCTGCTCAATTAGACAAACCTAAGTTTACCCCACTACTTTGAGTTTTAAATAAAGGTTCAAGTAAAATATTTAGATAAAAAACGGAGACCTTTCATGTTGTTTTTTTTCAAGAATCAGTTTGGAAAACACAGAGACCACTTGCCTTGTTTCCCACGCTATTCAGATACAGCTGGAACTTATTCTCCACGTCTCTGGAGAGGTTCGTGCAGCTGCTTTTAATCTTGTCTAGTTGCTCTTTCTGGCTGTTGCAGGTGAGGTGGAAGGTCAGCTGGTGGGGAAACAAGTTGTTGATCTGTTCCAGGAAAGCTTTAGTCACCGTCTGGATCCCGTTCAGGGAGTGAGCAAAGTCCTCTTTACACTTCCTGTTCAGAGATAAAGAAAAAACAGACTTAATGAGATTTTTCCTCATATTTACACACCGTCAGTCAGGCTGGTTAGGGTTAGGGTTAGGCACCTAGTATAGGCGGTGAGCTGGTCCTTCAGGTTTCTGTTGTCTGTGCGCAGATTGATGGTCTCTGTGAGGTGTGTGTCTCTGTCTCTGAGGGCGCTGTCTCTCTCCTGGCTCAGATATTGAACCGTCTGAGTGAAGTTTGAGTGAAGGAGGTCAATCATAGTTTTCTGCTGAGCGTTGAGGCTCTCCAAGACCTTTAATTCATCTACAGAAATCAGAGAGCTCAGAGCATTAATATCTAAATAAAACCTACACAATTATTTCATTAACGCCAGTATCCTTAATATTGCCTCATCTTGAACTGTCTTCACACTACATGTGACAAATACTTTCTATGTATTAAAGGTTATTTACGCAAACATCAGTTAGCCCAGAACTTAAAACACATAGCAAACCACCACTAGCTATAACTAAAGATGTCTTGCTAGTTTTATTTGATTTTAAACATAAGCCAGTTATTATCCAGGGCAGGTTTAGTGATCGTTCTGATTTGGATGTATGACGTGGTTCTGTGAGTCACAACTTACTGTTAGATGAGACAAATGGGGGGGGTTGAATGGGAGGGGAGGGCCGTCGCGCCATCGCCATCGCAGAGGCATAAGCCCTCTCAGAGTTAGCCTATCAATCAAAAACAAACATCAGGAGTGCACCAGCTGGTACTAACGTAAGCTAGTTGTAACTCTTACATCAGAATCTATGGTGAGTGAACTCTGACAAAGCTAAGCCTAACCAGATTCAGGAGAAGGCGCAGCTGAAGGTGATGTCGCTGTGTGAACGTCTGCACTGTCAATGGGATTTTACATAGAGCTGAATTACAACCTGCGGCAACGTATGAAAACCAACGCCTGGTCGCGGCGAGTATAAAAAAAACAATTCCTGATAGCGGCGACGCATGAAAAACAACGCCTGGTAGTGGCGACGCATGAAAATCAACGCCTGGTAGCGGCGACACATGAAAATCAACGCCTGGTAGTGGCGACGCATGAAAATCAACGCCTGGTAGTGGCGACGCATGAAAATCAACGCCTGGTAGTGGCGACGCATGAAAATCAACGCCTGGTAGTGGCGACGCATGAAAATCAACGCCTGGTAGCGGCGACACATGAAAATCAACGCCTGGTAGTGGCGACGCATGAAAATCAACGCCTGGTAGCGGCGACACATGAAAATCAACGCCTGGTAGTGGCGACGCATGAAAATCAACGCCTGGTAGTGGCGACGCATGAAAATCAACGCCTGGTAGCAGCGACACATGAAAATCAACGCCTGGTAGCAGCGACACATGAAAATCAACGCCTGGTAGCGGCGATGTGTAGCAAGTGAATTCTGTCACGAATTACCAGCTGAAGGAGACACTCCTCTGAAATTAACTTTTGACAAAAAGCCTAAATTTCTTCCTGTTAAAAGGGAGTTTTCCTCTCCACTGTTGCTGCATGCTTGCTTAGTATGCGGATTGCTGTAAAGACTCTGACACTAGTCAGTGACTTGATGCAATTTGCTGGGTTCCTTATATAGGAAACTTTTTACTGATTGGCTAAATGAACTGACCTGTATTGGAATGTTTATTGTGTGAAGTGCCTTGAGACGACTCTTGTCTGATTTGGCGCTATATAAATAAACTAGAACTGAATTGAATTGAAAAGCCCTCGGAGAAGCACGCTGTCTCTGTGACATGTGGAGAAGTACGTCACCATTAGTAAAGTGTTTGTTAAAATTATGGTTTTAATGTTACAAATTGGCCAAACTGAAGCTTTAAACCCACACGAATTACTTAACTGAGGCGATCAAAACAGTGATACGTGAACTAAACACATTAACACAGGTCAGGTAGGAGAGGACACGTACAAAATGAAAAAAATTACATCCGTGGCAGAAATCACTCGCCGTACACATCTAGCTGGGCGTAACTTTCAAATCTACATCGGACGTAGGTTACGCTCGGGCAGCTGGTGCACTCCGCCCAGCAGATGTTTCTTATGGTGGTAAACACAGAAGCTTCTCACATCTAAACTTCCATAAAGACAGTAAAGAGAACTTTACACAGAACTACACAACTTTTTGCATTTTCCTTACCAATTTCCTTCGAAGATCCTGGTCCACGCTGGTGAAATTCATTTTTAGCTTCATCATTTCTCTCTCTACAGCAGCTTTTTCTGCTGTCCGAGCCGACAGCTGAACTCCAAGCTCACCCTTCTCCTTCTTCAGCTTCACGTTGTTATCACTCAGCATGTTGAAGCCCATCTCCAGCTCCTTCACCACACATGAAGCAAAGATTTTAGCCAAAGATGGGATTTGAAGCATATTTGAAGCACAACTGGAGGAAGATGCGAGCTTTTACACAGTTTATCACCACAAAACCCACAATAATTCTGTAAGAAATCACCAACCTTGATCCTTTTCTCCTCCGCAGATTTCTCCGGCTGCCCATAGATGAGGAAGAGCACCAGGCTGACGATGATGAGCGACTGGATGAGAGATGAGAAGAAGAAGATGATCCTCATGTAGTATCCGCAGCTTTTCCCCTTCGGTTTGTGCAGCTGCTCCCTCGACAGCGGCCCGAGTTTGGCCTGGGAGTAGCTGGAGCTGTACATGACCGGTGGAGGTGAAATGGTTGCTGCTGGAGATTGATGATCTATGCAGAAAAGCGGTGGAAACAAAAAAAAAAAAAACTCCACAAGTCCCCCGCCCTGCGGTTGAATCTTCTCAGCTGAGGCTCCCAGGCGATCAGAGAAGAAGTGAGTGTGAGATTCTGAGCGCTGTAGGGATGCAGACACATCGATGTCCGTTAACGATGACCCGTAGAGCTGGGAGATGGGAATGTTTATAAAAGGTGCTGGAGGCAGACTTCCAGTCCATCCTGGCCCTCCCCTCCTCTCTGCTTCCTGAATGGCCTCTATCAGAGCAAAGCCTCCTACTGCACCAGCACTCAGACCTTCCTTTGGTTTGTCTGGGATAAGAAATCCTCACAAGCAACAGAATTACAGTTTAAAAATCAAATTTCAGTTTTAACAAAACGTGTAACTGTACTAACTCTGGAAAACATTTGACAATTTTTAACAAACCTATTCTAGTCTGGCCTAAATAAGTCCATGCTCTTCATGTCTCACCGCTCTGAAATTATCGCTTTGTCACATTATGCCTGAATTCTTTTAATTTGTGCATCCCTTTAACCCACAAGAAATATGAGTCATGAATTAACTAAGTGTTACCCAATAAAAGCCTCACATCTGATACAACTGAACATTCATGCAGTTTAGTGGGAATTTATTACACAAAGTACATTTTTTTATGAAAATAGAAAAAAATGCTGGAAGTGCTGCAGAGGTGTAAGAAATTTTATCTGGTGCTCTTCAGCCAAGGGATCCACATAAACCGTAATCTTCAACTGAAAGTTTGGTACCATACGAATCCAAGTCAAGCAGCTTCTCGAGACCATATACAGCAAGATGGTGGGAGTACCCCATTCAGACCCAAGTCTACTTTTATACCCAACATATGTAATCAGACTCTCTATAAAAAAGTTACTCATGAAGTTGATCAACTTTTTGCATCTAAAAATAAAATGAAGCATAATCTCACAAACAAAGAAAGAGATGCAATTAAGAGGTTATCAGCTAATGAAGACATCATTATCAAGAGAGCTGATAAAGGAGGAGCGGTAGTAGTGTGGGGCGGAGACCAATACGTCACAGAAGCTAAGAGACAGTTGGATAACAGTGAGTACTATGAACACATTCAAATTAATCCAGCAGAGCAAACGAAGACTGAACTTAAGCAGATACTTTTACATGCTAAAAATGAACAATGGATCTCACAAAAAGAACATGACTTTCTACTGAAGCACCCAAGAATTCCTTCCTTCTACATGCTCCCCAAAATCCATAAGAACTTGGAGAATCCACCAGGCAGACCAATAATTAGTGGTAATGAATCAATCACAGAACCAGCCTCACAGTTTGTAGATTTTTTTCATTAAACCAGTTGTATCAGAACTGTCTTCTTTTGTTCAAGATACTACACCAGTACTGAACAAACTGAATGATATATACAGGTGCTGGCCAGTAAATTAGAATATCATCAAAAGGTTGAAAATATTTCAGTAATTCCATTCAAAACGTGAAACTTGTACATTATATTCATGCAATGCACACAGACCAATGTATTTCCAATGTTCATTACATTTAAATTTGATATTTATAGGTGACAACCAATGAAAACATCAAATCTGGTATCTCAGAAAATTAGAATATTCTAAAGGCCAATGAAAAAATGTTTGTTTCTCTAATGTTGGCCAACTGAAAAGAATGAACATGAAAAGAATGTGCATGTATAGCACTCAATACTTAGTCGGGGCTCCTTTTGCCTCAATAACTGCAGTAATGCGGCGTGGCATGGACTCGATCAGTCTGTGGCACTGCTCAGGTGTTATGAGAGCCCAGGTTGCTCTGATAGTCGTCTTCAGCTCCTCTGCATTGTTGGGTCTAGCGTATTGCATCCTCCGCTTCACAATACCCCATAGATTTTCTATGGGGTTAAGGTCAGGCGAGTTTGCTGGCCAATCAAGGACAGGGATACCATGGTCCTTGAACCAGGTGCTGGTGGTTTTGGCACTGTGTGCAGGTGCCAAGTCCTGTTGAAAGGTGAAGTCTGCATCCCCATAAAGTTGGTCAGCAGCAGGAAGCATGAAGTGCTCTAAAACTTCCTGGTAGACGGCTGCATTGACCCTGGACCTCAGGAAACAGAGTGGGCCAACACCGGCAGATGACATGGCACCCCACACCATCACTGACGGTGGAAACTTTACACTGGACCTCATGCAACGTGGATTCTGTGCTTCTCCGCTCTTCCTCCAGACTCTGGGTCCTTGATTTCCAAAGGAAATGCAGAACTTGCTTTCATCAGAAAACATAACTTTGGACCACTCAGCATCAGTCCAGTCCTTTTTGTCCTTGGCCCAGGCGAGACGCTTCTTGCGCTGTTTCTTGTTCAAGAGTGGCTTGACACACGGAATGCGACACCTGAATCCCATGTCTTTCATGAGTCTCCTCGTGGTGGTTCTTGAAGCGCTGACTCCAGCTGCAGTCCACTCTTTGTGGATCTCCCCCACATTTTTGAATGGGTTTGTCGTCACAATTCTCTGCAGGGTGCGGTTATCCCTAGAGCTTGTACACTTTTTTCTACCACATTTTTTCCGTCCCTTCGCCTGTCTGTTAATGTGCTTGGACACAGAGCTCTGCGAACAGCCAGCTTCTTTAGCAATCACCTTTTGTGTCTTGCCCTCCTTGTGCAAGGTGTCAATGATTGTCTTTTGGACAGCTGTTAAGTCAGAAGTCTTCCCCATGATTGTGGTGCCTTCAAAACAAGACTGAGGGACCTTTTAAAGGCCTTTGCAGGTGTTTTGAGTAAATCAGCTGATTAGAGTGGCAGCAGGTGTCTTCTATATTCAGCCTTTTCAGAATATTCTAATTTTTTGAGATACCAAATTTGGAGTTTTCATTAGTTGTCACTTATGAATATCAAATTTAAATGTAATGAACATTGGAAATACATTGGTCTGTGTGCATTGCATGAATATAATGTACAAGTTTCACGTTTTGAATGGAATTACTGAAATATTTTCATCCTTTTGATGATATTCTAATTTACTGGCCAGCACCTGTATAACATAGGACCTGGACCTCTTGTTACTATGGATGTGGAGGCGCTCGAGGCGCTATACACCAACATTGTCCACACAGAAGGACTAGAAGCACTAACCTATTACCTGGACCAAAGACATTCAGAAGATATGCCTCCTTCTTCTTTCATCCTTCAGCTGGCGAAGTGGACTCTGTGCAACAATGTGTTTCTGTTTCAAAACCAATTTTTTAAACAGAAAAAAGGTACAGCAATGGAAGCATGTTTTGCACCCAATTACTCTAACCGTTTTATGGGTCTTTGGGAAGAAACATATGTATACTCTGATCGTAATGTCTACGCTGATAAGATGATGTGGTGGAGAAGATGCATTGATGACATTATTCTGCTGTGGTCTGGTTCAGAATCAGAACTACTTCAATTCCATTCATATCTTCACAACACTAGCAAAAGTTTGAAACTCAGCCTAGATTTCTCCTCATTTGAAATTAATTTCCTAGACATAAAAATCTCAAAATATGATAATGGAGATTTACACACTTCTATTTTTAGAAACCCGACTGACCGTAATACAATCCTCAGAGCAGACAGTTTCCATCCATCATGGTTAATAAACAACATTCCTACTGGTCAGTTTCAAAGACTTAGACATATTTGTGACACAGAAGAAGAATTTGAAAGAAATGCTACAGCTATGGGCCAGAGCTTTACAACAAGAGGGTACCAGCAAAGAACTATACTCAAAGCGTATAATAAGACTAAAAGCCTGCCAAGAGAACAGCTATCGGTTCCTAAAGAGAAGAACCATCAAAGATCAGATGGTGTTTATTTTGTGACCCAATTCAGTGATCAAGCCAACAAGATCAAAAAACTAATTACAAATAATGGGACATACTGAAAAGCGACAGTATTCTTAGCTCACCCAGATACTCCTACTATCAGCTTCAGACGAGCCCCAACATTAAATGATCAGCTTGTTCAAAGTCACCTTCCTCCACAGCAACAGAAAACGTGGTTATCAACTCGAAAAGGCAGCTATAAATGTGGAAATTGTGTTCACTGCGACAACATGACTAATACTAACTGTTTTGCTGATGTTTTCACAGGACGTACATTTTGCATTAATACATTCATCAATTGTAATACTTTGTTCGTGGTCTACAGTGGTCACAATGTCCATGTGGTTGCTTCTATATTGGGAGAACTAAACGTAAGTTAAAAGCAAGACTTGCAGAACACAAACAAGCAATCAGATCTGGTAATCCTCTATATCCTATGGCAGTGCATTATAAAGACACAAATCATGGAAGCTGTAACTCTTAAAATCACAGGGATTGAACATATAAAACATTCAAGATAGGCTTAAAAACTCTTGCAAAGAGAATCATTTTGGATTTATACACTAAAAGCTACTAATTTCCCAGGTCTTAATGGAGAATTAGATTTCGCTCCTTATTTGTAATTTTATGTTTTCGTACCATATTTACTTATAATTTTTTCTCAAATTCTCTAAGTGTATTTTAATATTTGTAATTATTCATCCTTACAATAGGATTGCTTAGATGTTAAAAGTTTTTTGTGTCATACTGGTCATCCAATCCTGATGCTGTCTACCTGCCCAGCTTCAGCCGGTGTCATTGATTAGCCTTCTTAACATGAAAGTGAGAGAACATACAAACATTTTGAGCCCTGACGAAGGCCCTGTGGGCTGAAACGCGTCGGCATTTATGTTTTTAACTATTTAAGCCATGTGCTAATAAAGGCTTTTTATTTTGTATCTCCTGAGTGCCTCAGATCTCCTTTTGCCTACATTTGTTTGTTTGTGGTCACCAAAAATAAACTAGTAAAACCAGAGTTCTCACTAACTGAAACCTCTGGAAAACTGTTTCAGTGAAGATAATCCATCACAGGCTTCTAAAAGCGGTCCTGATAATAAAAATGTTAGTCATCGTAATTTTATCAGGGTCCAGGTCACAGAGGCAGCAGCCGGAAACCCGAAGCACCCTCTGCCCAGTTCCTCCAGAGGGACCTCAAGTCAAATCTTGGTATTTGACACGTGGATTTCTTAAAGATGAAGAAAAAACAATTGTTGGTCCAACATGTATGAATGAGCACAGCGTGAACATCTGGGGGGAAAACCACAAGTCC